AGCGTGGGGCTTCCAAGTGACTGCACAGGGCCGGGAGCGGAGGGGGCAGTGTGCGGGATGGGGGAGCTGGGAGGTGAGGGGATGGGGGCGTGGGTGTGGGTGTGGGGTGTGGGGTGGGGTGCACTGCCGACTGAGGCAGCCTGCCTCCCTGTGTCAGTGTGCGGCCAGTGCTCCAGCCACGGGAAGGCAGCCATGCAATGACTCCAGCTCTTACACCACTGCTGGGCACACGTGCTGCGGAGAAGCTGGAGGACTGGACCCACTGAAGACCACCCAGCATGTCTGGACAGGCTGTCCCTTAGGGGTTAGGAGACAGCTTTCCAAACCAACTAGATTTCATTAGTTGTTTAGGGAGGACATGCTGTCACGAGAAAACAAAAGCCAGGACAGGGCTGCTGGCTGGGCTGAACCTCGGCTTCCTCGGAGCCTCCTTGCCTGTGATTTCTGAAACTACTTTTTGGGTGTCCCAGGGTGTCCACAGGAAGAATGGACACAGTGGTTGCTAAGCCTACCTCCTTTAATGAGACAGGTTCCTATAAATGAGAAATGGAGTGCCATGGTGAGTGGTGTTTCAACGTTCTGCAAAAGTGCTGTGGAGTGTGAGAACGGACGTCGCTGGAGAAGCCCTGAGACTGCACCGTGGAGGCCAATACTGAGCGTGGTCTCAACCTTAAGCTCAGGCCTCCCATGAACGACCAAGACACCAGGTGGCAGAGTTCTCGGGAACTCAGACCCAGTGGTCAGTTCTGACAGAGGACTTCAAGAAGACAGAAAGAGGGTTCCTTCTTTTTTCCCTGATAATTGTGCTTTCACCTTCTCCACAGTCCAATGATGTAGCTTTCTGTCACCTTTCTAAGCCTTACCTTCACCAAAGTACAGGTTATGAGCTCTTACGGAAAATGAAATTAAAATATTTATGCTAACTTTTAAGAGACAGATACTCTACTGGGAGCCAACTCCTCTGAACTCTAGGAACAACATGGTTTTGAACTTGCTCATTTCCTAAGTGCAATGACAGAACAAAACTCCATTAGAAGCCCAAGGAGACCCACTTAGCACAGCCAAGAAACTCAAAATGGGAACACAACAAAGACTGAAGAACAAGAAATGTCTGAAATGTAGGTGTGGAAAGCACACCACATGCTCATTAAAGATCCTGAAAGCTAAACAACGCAAAGACAGGAGTGCTCTTGGACAGGTGGACAGAAGGCCTTAACCTCGTAATGATGCAGCTTTCACAGAGTTACACACTTGATCAGAGTCTTCCCCAACTAACACTCTTGGTGTCTCTCTTGGAGCCAAACTGATTATAAAGGTTTCTTAGAAGATAAGACAAGCAACAACATGCACACACATGCATGCAGAAACCCCCAAATCACTAAAGCAAAAAAGAAGAGAAATGAGAAGGAGATGGCTCTGCTTAACATTAAACACATTAGACTCTAGGACTAGGGCAGGAATACATAATGGCCAAAGAATCAGAAGAGAAAAACAAGAAAACAGCCCAACTGCATACAGCCAGTGGGGAGACAGCAGGGACTGGGCAGGACTTGTGCCTTTGTAACACTCAAATGGAAGGAACCCATCAACCAAATGTAGCATGTAGACTTTGAACTCTGATTCTAACCAACACACCAAAAAAACTGTGAGACAGTCATAATTTTAATTCTTGACTAGACACAAGAGGGTAAGGAACTATTACCGCTTTTCAGACCTACTGATGGTATTAGTTATCTTTTTTAAATGCACTGTATAGCAAGGAAGGGACTACATGCGTAGCATTTAAACAACAAAGAACTGAAAGAAATATTAACAAAATGTTTTTTTAAGTAGAGTAGCTTTAACAAAATTTAAGGCTTGTAAGCAGTCGGTGTTTTAGAATCACTTATCTTTACGTGTACGTGTATCAAACGATCTCACTGTGGGCTGGGGCGTGGCTTGAGTGGTAGCACCAAGGCCTTGAGTTCTAACCCCAGTACCACCAAAAAAAAAAAAAAAAAAATTATCACACTGTAGCCCATGAATATGTACAATGAAAAAACTCTGAATGAGGAGAAAATTATCTTTACTTTGATTAAAGACTGTGAATCTTTGAATCACATTTTCTGAGGCTGAAATTCTACATCAAGGCAGAATTCCCATGAAGAAAGAAACGATGTTTTAACACACTGCAGAGAGTGTCCCCTAACAAGCGGCCACACCTGTTTCCATAGAACATCACGAGGGCATTGCCGCCCTTTCTCTCCTGCTAGACATAAGTGTGCACACGCCACAGGACAACCGACACATCACAGAGGCTTGCGTACTTTCACGTTCTCAGAGACTGTTAAAGGTAAGTACGTTCAGGACATAAATCTGCATATTTTCAGAGACTAACTTAAGTTTTTTTCTTTTCTTCTACTATGCTTGTAGGATCTTTGATTATACCCAATATAACTGCTTTTATAAACAAACAATATTTTAAAAACGCTGATATTTTCCCTTGTGCCTACATGGGAACATAACATGAGACAAGTATGCTTTCTTTTTTTGAGGTAACAGGTTTGGAAACTTTTCTTAATCTAAATTTTTTATCTGAATTTTAGATCATGTTGTTCCATACGTAAATATACTTTATATAAAATATTTAATTTATACAAGTACAATGTTTATTTTCTAGTTATATGTTTTAATACATAGAATATTTAGAATTTACCAATATTTTACTCAAAAACTAAAACTTATTTATAAAATACTTTCTTAAATTTGAGAAAGGATCACTGGCTTTATAAAGGAGGATTGAAAGATTGTCTTCCTCAGGCTGGGTGTGGTGGCTCACGCCTATAATCTCAGCTAAACAGGCACAGGTAGGAAGACTGTGGTCCTCCACTGACTTGGGCAAAAAGCATGAGATCCTATCTGAAAAATAACTGAAGGAAAAGCCCAGTGCCACCAAAAACATAACACAGAACAGTGAAATAACGAAAGGAAAAAAGGGCTGGGGGTATGGGTCAAATGCCTGCCTAGCCAGCACAAGGCCCTGAGCTCCCCACAGCTGCTCCATCAAGAGACAGTGGGATGGATACATGCGAGAACTGTCTGACCCGTGAGGCAGAGACGTCTATTCCAAAGAAAGTGGGCTAAACTGTAAATAAAAGCAAAAGTATGGTATATGGTTCCCACGCTTTACAGATGATAATGATTCACCTCTGTGTCTGATGCAACACAACACTGTTTTGGTGCAAGTCAGCTGCAGCTTCAAATTGAGACAATCATTTAGAGATTTAGAAGCAGAAGAGGCTGCAGAGTGGCTCAAGTGGTAGAGTGCCTGCCTAGCAAGTGAGAGGCCCTGAGTTCAAACCCCAGCACCACCACCACTACACTACAAAAGAAGAGAGTCTTGTTTAAAAGCAGAGAGGACCACTGATACCTCCGCAACAGAGCTGTACTCCCCCTGCCTTGCGGCACAGCCAAGACCCACCTGTGTTGCTTGTATTTGGCCGGTGGCAACACCAGCCAAGAGCAGGAGACCTTTTTTCCGGCTTGTGGCCACCCCACATGTGGAGCACTGTGTAGAATCTCATGGTTTTTCCTGGAATCACTGTGGTGACGTATGTGCAGACAGTGCAAAAGCAACAGCAGGTAAAACTGCTGTGGCAGCACCGTCAGGGACCCACTGTCACTGTCCTCACCTGCACATACCTCACAGGACAAGCTGACACTCAAGTAAGAATGCTTTATGAAGCAGTATGAAATATCTGAAGGCGACTAGGAAAAACGAGCAGAAACTCAGAAAATACCTTATCACCGGTGAGTCATTTGATGACGCATGCATGCCTTTCTCTTTGGTCTCACTGCCTTCACAGTACAGGGTAAACAAAGAAAGCAGCTCTCTCCTTCTGACCTGGCCCCCTTGCCCAAATGACTACTGTACTCCAGGAACTGAGCAACAATATCTTAAAGAAAGACATCCTGTGAATAAAACATTTGGTAAGCAGGCTCCTTTGATTACTGAAGTGTTTGCAAAGGAAATATTTACCTTAAGGAAGGACACCTGTGTTGAAAGGCGCCCCTGGTGAAACCCTCCCTTTGATTAAAGGAGAACAGACATCTCTGTCACAATGACCTAAGTGTAATGAACCAACCAAACTTACTATCTCTGGGGCCAACCAATAATGTCAAAACAGTGTGACAGCAAGGCGACTGAATGTACCAGATGTCCAGAACAAAGGGGAGCACCACTTACCCTAGAGCAAGTTTAAACCAAACACACCCACTTTTTCACCACAGGGACCTGATATCACAGCACACTGTGTGCTGCACCCATAGTTGGTGTGCACTGCCCTTGGCTTTGTTTTGCTTTACTAATAAACTTTCCTAGTCTGCATCTCTCTGTGGGATGTGACAACTACTTGAACCCACTATCAAGCTGAGGATCTCTCTCTGGGGACCTCCTTAACCCATATTGGTCCCAGTGACACTGATTTTATTAAGCTGTTACCCATGAGAACAGTTTTGAATGATGTGATGCTAAAAAGAAAATCACACATGAAGCACCTGTGCTATGTAACCCGAGACAAAGGCTGCCCACTGAGAGGCACTTCTGCACCTACGTGATCTCCAGCCTCAACTGGATTGTTTTTCCCATGGAAATTTACTTGAAAGAATGACTAGTGGACCAACAATGTTATTCACACTTGAGCATTTGACATGTTTTCTCAAAAACCAGCAAAGTATGGGGACCAGTCACCTTAAGGAACACAAATGACAGAATTTGTACCCCATGATAAATTTGGGCAGAAATTAGAATCTTGGAAAATTTGTGTCTGCTATCAGGAGCTTGACAGCTTTCCAACACCTGAAGACAAGTCCAGTGCAATGGGTGGTGACAGCAGTGATTACAACTCAGGGCGACTGAACATGAAACATATGAGAGCCAATTGTACAGCATTTCCAGCATGCTGGCACAGGTAGGGAAAGGAAATATTAAGATGGATGACAGGATGACAGCCTTCACTTACAGCAAAAAGGCCTCATTCACAGCTTCGAAGAACTCAGGCCAGAGGATTTCCTGAGATCCATGTCCATGGTAGGTGAGCAGAGCCTCCAGCAGGGGCTTAATGTCAGGAAGAGTGACAAGCGGAATGCAAACTCGTGACAGAGACGTCACTCGCTCTGGAGCCATCCTGTGGGAGAAGTAAGAAATAATTACCCAAATCTGAGAGCCATATGTAATTAAAAACACATAAAATCTTCATGCTGAAAAGGTCGATGACAAGTCTCCTGCTTTCGCCTGACATTCAACCACCCTAACACCATCTACCAAATCTGGCTCTTACCAACAGTCAGGAAGAAGCTGCTTTCTGCAGCTCAAGGGCTTTATCTGGTCTCACTCTCTACAGACACCTGCACTCACCTGCCCTGACAGACAAACTCTGGAGTCCCTCTCCCAGAAGTCCTTTCCCTGGGGCTCCCTCTGCACAGGCTGACTCTGGTTCCTGCCTTGCTCCTTGCATCCTTGTCTGCTCCAATCCATCAGAACTACAACAAACCTGACCATTCCTCAACCTGTTCACATTGCTACCCTCCCAGTGCTGGCCACTGCCATCTCTGGCCTGGTTTGCAGGAGTCTTCTGTCAGCCTCCAACTTCTGCCCTCACTCCCACTGCTTATCATCAGAAAGCTCTGTCATTCCTTTAAAACCTCAGATCACGTCACACCACAGGGGGCCGAGGCTTTCCCTGTCTCCATCCCCCTCTACTCTCACCTGTACCCTGCCTGTGACACGTGGCTAGCTCCTTGGCTTCATGCAGGTCTCAGCTCAAGTGTTGCTTTGTGACACTTCTCTGAACCATACTGTCACACACAGCAGTTTAAAGTTATTAAAAAGAAATAAAACAGAAGACTCCATGCCTCATTGCGCTCACCACGATCAAGAGCTCACTGGCAGCTGCAGTATTAAATGATGCAAGTTCATGGAGAGCTCTGCTGGTCGCCCTCTCTACCTGCTGGCCTGTGACACACTCACTGTGCACTGCCCAGGGTCTGGGTCCTCCTGCTCCTGAGGCAGCTCCTTTCTCTATCCTGTCTACAGCTCTATCCTAGCACCCAGAACAACTCCTTACACACCCTGCATGCTCAGTAAACAAATGCTACGTGAATATCTAGAGAGTCATGAAATGACAGCCCTGTGTGTGTGCTAGATCTTTTCCCAGTGATCTCACATATAATCATAAATGTGGAAATTCAGCTATTGCTAGTTGTTTCAGAACTGCTGTCTATTATTAAAAATATGTATATTCTGTAATGCAATCAAGTCTATCAACAGCCATTACTACACACAGTGCTGCAGCTGGCATCCTCACACATGTAGTACTTATGCGCTAGGTCGATTTCCCAAAGCCTGTCCCAGTTTACTCCTCTACCCTTTCACTCGTGATTATCCATTTTTATTTCTTGCTGACTTGATGCACAAAAATTACTACTACACTGCATAATTTGCATTTTCTGGTAACTTCTAAGACTGAGTAATCATTACCATTTGTATTTCCCCTTCAGGGAGTGTTTTTAACTTAGTGTGTATCTATCCCCTTCATTTAATGACTATGTACTGACCACTCACTAGAGTCAAGGCTCTGTGTGAGGTTTTGTTACAGAGGCAAGGGCCACAGAGCCTAGTAAGGGAGAGAAATGGGACAATGCTGGATGACAGTGTGGTGCTGAGGAGGAGAGAAAACTGAGGGGTACAGGGGTGCTCGCAGCCCTGTGCACAAGCCCTGAGCACATCTGGGAGGAAAATGCAGCAAGCTGGTAGAAGACAACTGCAAAGGTCCTGAGTGTCTGAATGGGAGAAGGATGTCACAGCACGGGCAACTGTGATCGGGGGACCAAATCAGAGGCACTGGGGCCACTGAGGAGCCTTGCACATTCTGTTTAAACTTAGTTTTTACTTTTGTTAGATTTATCGATGCAATTATACTCAGCAGTCAAACAGCTCTTCACAGTTTATGAAAAACAAAGGGCGCGCCGCCCTGGTTTCCTGATCTCCAGGGCAATCACGTCTGACCCTGACCCTCTGGACGGTCACTGCATTGCTCAAGGCCTACCACAGCATCTGTGGGACACCTGCCCCTGATAGTGAGGACTCCAGGGACACAGCAGGCACAGCACGGGGGAGGGCAATCAGAAGCACCTGCTCCCACTTCTTCTCATCGGTGAGGGAGTATTAAACACAAGTGTTTGAAAGGGTGGGGTCAATCTTGCTGTGCATCTGTACAGACATGAGTACATAAATAAGTTATGGCTTAGTTTCAGAATGAAATGCTCAGTGGCAGTTAAAACGAACCAGACCTGTATTATCCAAATACACACAATGATGAGCAAAGAAAGCAAGTTGCAAAGAGATACTTACAGTACGCTATCACTTTTATAAAGTTTGGAAACATTCACCACAATACATCTATATGAAATGCAAGTATTAAAACGTGACAAGCAGCTGAGCACTGGAAGCTCACACCTGTAATCCTGGCTACTTAGGAGGCAGAGATCAGGAAGACCTTGATTCCAGACCAGCCAGGACACAAATGTTTGCAAGACTCCACCTCAATGAAAAGCTGTGTGTGGTGGCATGTGCCTGTCACCCCAGCTATGTCAGCAAGCATAAAACTGGAGGATCAAGGCCCAAGCACCCAGGGCATACAGCGAGACCCTCTCTCAAAAATAACCAACACTAAGAGGACTGAGGTGCCACTCATGCAGCAGAGCACCTGTCTAGCCAGTGCAAAGCCCTGAGTTCAAACCTGCCAAACATGAAGGAAGAATCTACACTGATTTCCTGTGGTGTTTTACCCCTGTGGAGAGGAAGAAGAAATGGAGAGGAGAAAGGTGCATTCAGCTGTCACTGAACCATTCTATTCCCTTAAAAAGATGAAAAGCAGATATTAATATGGGCACTGTAAAATCTGGGCAACAGATTTTTCTGTATGTTATGAAGCATTTTATAATTAAATTTTAGAAAACTAAAGTACAATGTTACCCAGTAAAATGCTGAAAATGAAAAGATACTCTTCATAGTAAATGAACTATTTCCTGCTTCAGGGTCTTGTCTGTAAAACAGCAAAACTTGATGAAAACTTAGTCTTCTTTAATTAGCCTGAGCTTGCTTACTATTTACCCCCTTTTCTTTCTACATCTTTTTTATACTCTTCTCATGCTCACTTGATTACATTTAGACTTATTTGTGCTTTTTTCTTTTAAATCCCAACTATATTCACCTATAGAATCTGTATGGATATTTGTACTAAAACATACTAAAAACCCAAAGTCAAAAACATACTATTAGTTGAGAGAAAACTGCTCTGATATATGCACTAAAGGGTAATCAATCATGCAATTTCGTAAGTCAGGCCTCTCTGAGTCCACCGTATTGGAGCACTCTCTCATGGTCGTGTACTTGGCTTTGCATTTGTTCCAACAGAACTAGACGTTTGGGTACATATGCCAGGAGGTGACACAAAGTGGAAGCTGGTATCCTCACAGATAGTGTCAGCATGTCAGAAATCAGGGCTGGCAGTAAACTGCTATGGCAGGAACAAGATGAACTATACATCCAAACGCACTTCTCAACTGCCGCCCTCCCCTGTCCAAGGGGAGAGGGTCAGTGAAGTAATCTGTTCTTGGCCCCATGGGTCAAACTCCTAGTGGAGGAAATGTGGGTTTTGGGTACAGTAGATACCACCCATCGTCCAGCTACTGGTTATCTGGAAACTGCTGGCAACCATAATGCATCCAAACACCACTGCCCATGTTAAGAGAGCCTGCAGTTCAAGGGTAGCTGAAAAACTTCCACCTGTGACAGACTGCAGCTCATCATTGCTTGTTTTTCAAAAAAAATACAGACGAATTCCTTGGCTCAGGGCGAATGCCACTGCACGATGTCTGTGCTGGGACCTGAGCTGGCAATAGCAGCAAGGGTGAAATGGTAATGAATGCAGTCAGTAGCTCAGGTTCCCCATATGAACACATATAAATCTACGATGTAACCTGCAACACTCCTCACTGAGCTTACTGAAAGGATGGGATAGATGCCTGTGCTTGGATGGCATCCCCAAGACAGGCACGTCTGCCTTTTCTTTTTTCAAAGAATTTTGGTATTCAACAAGATACTTTTTTGAGTATGTTGAGCTCAAAAAACTGGGGCGGGGGCAGAGGGTGGGGAGAAATTCACAAGATTGAATTTAAAAAGCAACTTGATGCCCACCATGCTTTTGAGTTTTTTTTTTACATGAGCTGTTAAAGTCTTGACTTTTTAAAAGCTAAAACTATGAAGTTCTGCTTGCCATGCACAAAACAAGCAAACAAACAAACAAAAAAAAAAAAACACAAGCAAACAAACAAAAAGCTTGGACCCCGAATGCCTATGTAAGACTCAGCCGTTATACCCACTGTTCTCCAGTGGACCACAGAGCTGCCCAGTGTGTCTGCCCGTCTCCAGGAGAACTGATTTCCTGAAACCAGGTAGTGGAATGGCATTGGGATGACACTGGAGACAGCTGCCACAGGTGCTGCAGCTGTTACAGTTGCTGCTGTCATTAGTAATAATTAAAATATGATACTCTGAAGTTATCTGTTCATTTTTAATGTTTACAAATTGAAAACATGGGAGTCAGAATTTACATAGTGGTCTACCAAGTTTCTACTCTACTTAGAGAGCTAGGACTTACCATTCCTGTCCTTTTGAACAGGACAGGACTTAGTGTGACTTTGAACATTCAAGCAGCCCAAGCCTCCCAAACTTAGAAGTCACATACACAACAACACACTGACGTTCTCTGTGCTCTTTCCTAGAGGGCACCTATGCACTGTACTTTTTGCAACTGGAATGTTTAAAGTTCATTTCAAAGGATTCAAAAAGCCTCATAACAATATAGAAACTGACCTCAAAACAACAAAACTGGAACTCCATTTAGTTTCCTTTTGCACTACTTTTTGAGGCCTGATAAACAGCCCGGTCATCTTGAAGAGCTTCACATGCCACCATGCAAAATCAACAATCCAGTGACACAATGTTTAAACCCAGTCTGGTCCTTTGCTGCAAACTAACTGGCTAGCAGGAGTCGTGGTCTGGACTTTCCCAAGCAGTCAGCTCACTGCAGAGTCCTATGCCTGCTGCAGGCAGTGTGGTCAC